AGGAAGAGCTTTACCAGATATCGAAAACCACTTCACTTGAAGACTTTCCACAGCAGCTACAACTAAAATGGATAAATTTCCACATCTTCTCTACAAATATTTTCATGGTAATTGTCCGCATCAGCTTTTCTCTTTGATACACCGACGTTATGAAATTAAGTGCAGTACTAGATTGGCAGCAAGGTCTCTTTCATCTACAGCTGAAATGGATAGACTTAACTATAAGTTCAATGTTAACAGTTTCTCGACCTCGCACTTTTCGCTTGTGAAACCCTCTTCCAGCTTCCTGCTTTTCAGTCAACTTTGATGTTTAAAAATTAAAATTCAATGTCAATAGTTATCTTTTGTTTTCTTAATTTCTGTTCTTATATTGTTCTCTCCCCTTAATGATGTTTTACTTTTTCTCATATTCTTTTACGCCATTTGCATCTTTGTGACTTTATTACATTGATTGGGGCGAAATGATTTAAAAAATAAGAAGACAAAGCACAGGTTGCTAGGAAAGAATGTTTCGATTTGTATGTTTGTTGGAGTTTGAGTTGGGAAACACGTGTCTCCTGGAGTGTTCATCCTACAACAAAAATGGCGGACTCGCTATGTGATTCCGGGTAATAAAATAAAAAGAAACTTCTAAAACCAATATATACACAAACAAACGATAATGTACTACTAGCAAGACAAAATGTTACATTGTTGCGAGCGCCAAAAACAATGATATTTTATGAGTGTGGCAAAACTATGAACATTCATGAAAACATTTAAAGACTAATGAATTGTTCTTGAATGTAAAGTGTGCGTAGAAGTCTTAGGGAAAATGAAGTTGCGTACATACGTGTATGTGTGTATGCGTTTTTTGCAGGTATCCCAATGGGTAACGCGTTTTGACGATAGACTTACATCCTAGCGTGTCTAAGGAAAATAGGAAAAAGAACTGGCGCGTGTGCGCGCTCTTCTCCACGTTCAACCTACATCTTACCATCTCTGGGTGAAATAGGAAAAAGAGAATGTTAGAAAATATTACAGTGTATTTATAGGTTCAGAAGGCGTCCCCTAGTGGCGTTATATTTTTGTGAGGAATGTAAGTGAAGTAACTCCACAAGAAAAACTAATGATATATTCATGATGTTGACTTTCCACACTACCTTAAAAACGTTTTAGGAAGGAAAGATAACGTATTAGAAAGGAAACCCCTATAAATACCAAAGAAAGAGCGATAACAGTTAGTGTAATTGAGAAGCCTATTATATCTGAAAAAGAAAGATTTTTTTAATTGCCCCTAACCGTAACATTAATGACAGTCTCCTATACAAAAATAATTATCTCAACTTTACTGTTATTGTTGCTGATGAGAGAAAGAGAGACAGAGAGGGAGAGAGACGGAGAGACAGAGAGAGAGACACAGAGAGAGAGAGAGAGGGCTGTTCTAGGGTAGCTAGACAATTCGAACTGAGCCCTTTATTTTATCAGAGGGGGCAATTTTTTCTAGTTCCGATTGATGTAAATAATATAAACTATGTAAATAATGTAAACAATGTAAAAAAAAATTGCAATACCTCATCTTAGAAACAGTAAAGTATTGACAGTAATGTCATCATCAAGAGAAAAATTCCACGAGGCGAGATACGATGAGTAGATGTCAACATCAAGCAGGTGTAGACGTTTGAATATCTAGGAAAGGTTTTAACAGAGGATGGAAAATATGACACCGAAATCCGAACACTAGCGAAAGATGCCTTCCAAAAGCTAAGCAAAATGCTGAAAAAAAAATTAAAATTTCGTTAGAAATAAAGAAAAAGAGTGCTGGATTGCTATGTAATATGCGTCCTCTTAACGCTGGACAACCTCCTCACGGGTGACGAAGAAATCATGGCCAACAGAAAGGTGTTTCTACAGTAGGATAGTGGAAATTCCACGGATGGAGCGAGATTTAAACAAAATAGTAACAGAAAGAACAGAAAAAGACATCTGAAATTCCTTAGACACATAATGAGAAAGGAGGGCTTGAAAAACTTGAAAACCCACAGGACATAATGAAGGCAAGAGTGAAAGTAACAAGCAACCTACCTGACGTGCTTGTGTAAATTGATAAGGGGGTGAGAGTTGTGAACCTTAACGAAGAAGGAAAACTGCTAAGAGCTACGAAGGACAAGTAGTTACAGTTCTGAAGAGACATGTCACATAGAAGAACACTAATTTTTTGGTCAGATGAATGCCTGATATTTCATGTATAGAAACAATGTATATCACAATACCGTTATATCGGTAAATACCAAGTCAATGTGATCTTTTTAGCCGCGTAAACGTAATTTAACTAAAATACGGTTACTCTAACAATAAATAAATCAATAAAAAGAATCCGATGGGTGTAGCGCAGGGGTGTGGCCAAATTTGTTTACTGTAAGGGCCACATACGATAAAATTCACATGTTTGAGAGCCGTAAGATATGAGCAAATTTTACACATAAGTTTTTGTTACATTTTGTTACAAAATGTTATAGAAATATTATGAAATCGATATATGTAATAATATTTATTTATGTATACAGTATTGATTTCAGTAATCACAAAGTAAACATATATATATATATATATATATATATATATATATATATAGTAAAAGTAAACCTAAAGAGCTATACAAACTTACCTAGGTTTCACCTACGCGGATCGTCTGGCCAGTCTGCCTGACGATCCGCGTAGGTGAAAACCTAGGTAGGTTTGTCTCTTAGTCTTTAGGTTTACTTTACTTTTATTTGCTACTTAGCGTATTGAGCACTTTGTTATTTTACTATTTAATGTTTTATCTTAGCTTAGTTATTTTACTTACTCGTATCGGAGGTCTTTTTTCTTTGGACTCTAAACATAGATTCTAGACGATTATTTTCGCCGGAAATATATGTTCTTAATTCTTTCTTTTTTTACCCTTTTTTCCACTTGGGTATTGGTTTGTTGATTTACAAGCTAAAACACCTAAGGTTTTGCCGGACAAGTATAACTGCTTATATTTATAATATTATTAGTGTTATATATATACCAAATTTTTAAAAAATCTTGATTGATGATTGTTTTTACTAAATTGAAAAGTATTTAATATGGTTATAAACTGCGGAAACTTCTAAGAAAAAAGTGCGAATTTGCATTTCAGTAACAAAATTATAACGGCAACATAAAAAAAAAATGCCAAAAACAAAACTGAAAAGAAAAAAAAATATACATATATATATATTTATCTTCGTAAATATCTGGTCAAAACACGGAGGGAAATATGTAAAAAAAAAGCAGACCAATAAAATAGAAATATTTTAATCAGATACCACCTTACAAAATTAGAATCTAATTATAATACTTTTATGACCAACAGACCAGACAGTATACAAATATCGGGCTATGAAAGCCCGCTGTTTATTGCTAGTAGGAGCAGAAGGATTTCTTTGGTAACAAAGCAAAGAGTACTGAACTGCTATGTGACATTTGCCCTCTTTTAAGGCAGTGAATGTTGGACTGTCTCCTCAAAAATGAAGAAGAGACTCAAGGCAACGGAGGTATGGTTCTACAGAGGGATACTAAGGATATCATGGACCAAGCGGGTGAAGAACGATGAGGTTTTGGAGAGGATGAAAACAACGAGAAGCCTTATACTTAACACCAGGAAGAGGCAGCTGAAATTTCTGTGACACGTAATGAGAAAGAAGGGCCTGAAGAATCTGATACACACAGGTCGAATAGACGTAAAGAGAACAAAGAGACAAAAATTATTGATAGGTACAAGGAATAGAGGGAAGTGGGGGAGGGGCATGATTGACTACGTCATGAAGGGACACGGCACATAAAAAGAAGAAAGTGGTCTTGTGTGTCTCAATCTTGGCTATGACATGTTGAAAATTTGGCTGATATGTTGTCAAGACTGTACGTATTAGTTCTGTCAGGTGTTGGTTTGTAAATATTGCATCATGCTTTGACTTCACAAGCCTCATTACATTCTCTTGTGATTCACAGAAGTATGTCGTGCTGCAAACTGAGATAATACGCGCTCACTATTTTTCTTCAATTCAGGATATTTCGCTCACTGGGGTAGACTGTTCTAGTTCCACGTGCCATGTCTAATGGATGTAAGTTATCAGTTAATTTCCCTCTGAAAGTTCTCCACCGCCTTAACCAGGTATTGAACTTACACACTTTGGGTCTTGTCACTAGATCTAACCAACGCCTTTATCCACTGTGCTATGTGTCCTTGAGGACAGGACCCAAAGAGTGTGAGTTCAATATCTGGTTAAGGCAGTGGAGAACTTTCAGAGGGAAATTAGCAAGAGATAACTGATAACTGACATCCATTAAACATGGCACGTGGAACTAGAACAGTCTACCCCAGTGAGCGAAATAAAGGGTTAAGTTCGACATTCCAACCACCTGAAGAAGGCCGGAGCGTACAACGGCCGAAACGTTGTAATAAATATGGCGACAAAGATGAGGACAATAGTCCGAATAATGTAAATAGTGTTAATATTTCTTTGTCAAATTTTTCAGTAATGCTAAATAAAATTCATACTGTTGGTTTATGATACTTCATCAGGGAGTTTTCATTCACATACACAAAAATTCTAAACGCAAACGTAAAAAATATACATAAGTAATCAATATCATATATCTATAATATAAATGTAAACAGATAATTGCGGCATCAGTTTTTTTTGTTTTTTTTTTTGTTATTTTTTTATCCTTTACTGACAATGTTGAAAGGACATAACGTAAATCAAGGCAATTTTAGTGGAACCCTTGGTGACCTTTTACGGAACCTTAGGGTGCCGGGGAACCCAGGTTGAGAAACGTTAGTTTATAGTGATCTATATGGGAATAGTAAGTTACCGCCTAAAATCCCCACCTACTAAAATCGAAATTGCATCCCTAGGACCGGCATGGAGTTTACAGGATTCAAAGATGATATTTGTGTTGTGAAGCCAAATCTTCACCGTTTGCACTGTTTTTAGTGATCATCCTCCCCCATGCACTGTGACGGTGATCTATATAATGATAAGCAATTATTATTATTGATGTTTACAATTCATGTCATTGTTTTTTTTTTCTATCTTTCTTTATTCTCATCCTCTCCGTTTCCGCATTGTTTTCTTTATATTCATGTTCCCAATTCCTCTGCTCATCACCCACCCATCTACTTTATGACGACATTCATTCCTCAATTTCTCGATCGTTAATTTCCGCCAACACCAATCCTTCCAACTTCCCCGGCCCCTTGCTCTTCCTCTCCCCAACTCGTCTCCTTTTACGGTCCGTCAAACTCTTTACTTTCTCTTTCTCTCACTGTCACTTCCTTTTCTTTTCTTTTTTTCTTTTTCTTACTTTTAATTTCGCATTCGCTTTTATGGCGATATTCTTGATTTTATTTCTCTCGTTATTTTTATTCGCTCTGCCGTCC